CGTCGTAATGCCACTGGCGATTCGTACGAGTGGAGACTTTGCACACCTGAATCATCTTCTTGGAGTGTTTCCTTGCCTTTTTCCATATGGCATTGGAGGTTTTGAGATCGACCGCCCTCTGTTCTATCTCGTATTGAGAACCAAGCGAAATGGACCATGAGATATGCGGACAAAAGGTTTAGGAAAGACCATCCATTTCATGTTTCAAGTCTTTGGCGTCATACAAAACATCAAGTGTGTCGCGCAGCTGTTCTCAAGTGGAAAAGAAGGCCTTTCATGCGAACGAACAGGCTTTTCGATCTTTGACTTTCGCAAGATTTGCTGTCAGCTAGTGTTGAAGAATCCAATCATCAGATGCATTCCAATCCTATAGTTCGATCTCTCAAACAAACACGTCAATGCCGTTCGGACCAAGGTGATCGGAACCGATGAGTCTTGAACTAAGATACATGCTTTAATCTGGGGTATGACGATGATGAAGAACCCCTCCGTCATTGTGGATCACATAATCCCAGTGATACCCATGATCCTATTGCACAAGTGCTTCTGGGTGAAGAGATCAACATGGATGCTTTTGATGTCGATGGAGGTCCTGATTCGGCGCATCGTGCTATCAATATGCGGTCGATCCATATGCAGCGGCACAATTCTTCCACTATACGATTCGTCGTTCTCGACGAAATGTTAGGCATCACAATAGCGAGCAATGGGCATATTAGTCGCAAGAATGGCATCTTTGGGACCGTGGAAAGCTACATAGGCACCGTCGAAGCTCAAGGCCGAGGCACCCTTCATTTACATCTATTGTTTGGTTGCAAGGTCTTTATATTTTTGTCTGTGTCGCACAATCTTTGACTTCGCTTCAAACAGGCGCTCCTTCAGTGTGCCAAAATGAAAGAGCTTACTTCAATCAGATGCATTTCGAATCCAAGTGGCTGAATACATCGCTTCCAATATTCGAGCCAATCACAACGACATAACAGAGCAAACATTGGCTATTGTGCCACGTGAAAGAGCTGTATCGTATTCTCACCCACCAGATCCTCGGTTGCCTTCATTTTCATCACAACGGCAACGAGTGGAAAAGCAATTGGTTCGTGCCGTTCAAATTCACAAATGCGGCCCAGGTTGTCTCAAGTCATGGCGAGGTCGATTGTTTTGCAAACGTCGAGCACCTTTTCCTGTTGCTGAAGAATCCTGGATCAATATCAATGGTGAATGGGGACCTCGGCGACTGTATCCGTTCATGAATAACTGGAACCCATGGCTATTACTAGCCATTCGCGCTAATCATGATTGTAAGCTCATCACGAATGGTGGGGACACAAAGCATATCAGTTGGTATATCTCGACATATGCTGCCAAACGTCAACAACATTCTGCCAATGCCTCTGCATTACTGGCTAAAACAATTGCTTATCATAAGCAGAATGAAGCCCATAATTCAGATGTCCAGCTACTCAACCGTCGTCTTATTCAACGCTGCGCGAATTCTCTCAGTCGGGAGCAGGAGTTCAGTGCTCCGGAAGTTGTATCCTATCTTGTTGGATGGGGTGATCGATATGTGTCTCATCACTTCGAGACTATACATTGGAGTTCTGTCACTTCACTTCTCAAGAAGACTTATCCGCAGTTGTGTGAGAGCCGGTGAGTTGCCAACTTCTTTAGTAATCTGTTATTAATACATACACTCCATCTGATACTAGATCACATGTCATACAGCGTACTGCAGAAAGTGGAACCGTTGATGTCAGTGATTGTTCACCACAGGCAAGTGACGTCAGGATGTTCATCATGAAGTTACACCAACCTAATCTGGCGCTGTCTCTAGAACGAATATGCTGTTCTAGAAATGCATGAAGGCTCAATACGACTGCAAGATCAAATTCATGAATACATCGACCGTCCTACTGAACTAGAAGGTTTCAATTATCTCAAATATTTCTTGAACACTTATGATCTTCGTACGCACTCATCAAACTCCGATCTTGTACCAAAGAGGAGCGATGCAAGTATTCATCTCTCTTATAAGGAAGGGATCAGTCATGCGGGACATGTTCGACACTCTTCGCCAAGACAATCACGAAACCATTCCGCACATTCCAGGTCCATGGTTTCCTCGTGCTGATGATCCTGCGAGTCATTCTTTCTATTGTGCTTCGATTCTTCGCCCTTCTTAAACCTTGGAGGAATATTACGCAGTTAAAAGAGGCAGACGAAAGTTTCATCCATGCTTACGAGACTTTCATGACCTCTACATCATTCTCCATTCGCAACATTGTCAATAATCTTCAGTATTTCCATGAGTGCTCTGACAAGGCTAAAGAACATGAAACCACATCACCAAGCATCCCGCACGCTTTGGCAGATCGACCACGATTTGATGAAGATTTTCACACTGATGAAGAAGAAAGTAACATCAATTCCATTACCGAGGAATCAATCACAGATGAAGACATCATGCGTGCTGCTAATGGCACATTTGGTTCTTGAGAAAGGGTATATGCCGATGTGGCGATGAATATAGCGGAAGAGTATCGCTTCTTTGAGCGAAATGCTGAAGAAAACCTGGCGGTCAACGAATTAGCCAATGTTGCCACGGATCAACAATGGGCGAATTATCTTCAGTGGGATAACATTATCCATAATGAACCTCACGCACAGAACCTTTCCGCTATGGATGTTCGAGTGGATGAAGGTGGTGTCGCACTTCTTCAGCATGCTGGCAGTTTTCGTGGACACAATGATTCATCTGTTATGAGGATTCAGTCGTCGTCACCACCTCATTCAGCTATTCCTGATTATCTCAATGAAAAACAGAGCCTAGCTTTTCGCATTGTCTACAAGTATCTGGGTGAGTGTTACGCTGATCTTCAGGATGTCATTAAGGTGAAAGTTCTGAATTAGATGAAATTTTGTGCGGACGACAGCCTTCTCAATTGCTGATGCAAATCCACGGCCAAGGCGGAACAGGGAAAACCAAATTGTTGCAAGCTATTACTGAAATGTTCGTGACCAGAGGTTGTTCACATCGGTTGGCCAAAACTGCATTGTCTGGAGTCGCTGCATCTCAAATCGGAGGTTCTACCTTGCATTCATGGGCCACCATACCGGCAAATGTGAAAGGCTTGCCAACGTCAGACTCATGGATTTATCATCCAAATGTGGAGGCTATGAGACGGCGAGAGAAGAATATGCTGGATAAAGTCTTGTTGGTAGTTGATGAAGGCAGTATGCTTACAACTGATTTCCTGAGCCTTCTATCGCAAGTGACAGGCGCGTTCCGCGAAGCGGCTGGCATGCCACACGCATCAAGTACTCTTCCGTTCGGAGGATTGGGCGTCATCATCGTCGTAGACTTCCACCAATTTCCTCCTGTCGGCAGTCTGACACACTCGTTGTATTATCCTAACCCTCCTACAACAAAGTGCCAATTGGGAAAGAATATCTATCTTCAATTTGACACTGTCGTTATACTGGATCAGCAAATGCGCATTATAGATGCTGTCTGGTACAACATATTGCAGCGCTCCAGAGAAGGAGCCTGCACTGCTGATGACCTGGCTATCATACATCGTCTCATTCTTTCGAACGACGAGTGTGATGTTCCAAACTTCGCCGTCCCTCCATGGAATGAAGCCATTCTCATCACACCACGCAACAGTGTACAAACACAATGGAACAACCGCGCGGTTGTGAAGCACTGCTTGTTCACCAACAAAACCCTGTACATATGTCCTGCGGAGGATTCTACCCATGGGACCTGTCTGAACATGGTCCAACGACTTGACACTGCCAAACTGTCACTGAAAGACACAGAGCAAGTACCTACAATTTTACGATTGGCTATAGGGATGCGAGTTATGGTGACTCGGAATTTAGCAACGTCTGCTAATTTGTCGAATGGATCAAGGGGAAGAATTGTGGAGATAACATTGGATGGTAGAGAACCTTCTTTGACCTCAGCTAAATCTCAAAATCGACAAGTCCAACTGCGTTATCCACCTATACTTGTCATCATCGAGCTCGACTTTTGCGAACTTCCACCTCTGCCTGGTCTCAAACCTCGTCAGATTCCTTTGTCACCCGTTGAAGTCAAATTCTCCATTGGAATGCATCCTACTACTCGTGTAACTCGTCGACAACTACCTCTCGTACCCGCTTATGCATTCACAGACTACAAATCTCAGGGGCAGACTATTGATCACATCCTCGTAGATATCGGCAAAACGACATGCTTCAGTCTATCACCTTTCAACGCATATGTGGCACTTTCTCGGAGTCGAGGTAGACAGACGATACGCTTGTTGCGGGAATTCGAGAATGAACTATTTATTCGTCATCCTTCGGAATATTTAAGAGAAGAAGATGCAAGAATTGAAGAGCTTGAAAGAGAAACGAAGAAAAAGTTAGATAACATTATTTGAGTCCATGTACCATAGCTTCTGTGACCGTATTCATAGGTGTTCTCGTTCATCAAATAAACCTGCGAGAGTGTCTGCTATGTTATCATCATCGACGTAAAGCAGGATTACTCCTCGACGAGCTAGGGCTGATACTAATGCTGGAAATGCAAATAAATGAATGTTCGTTTGATGTATGATGGCTCACCGATAAGCTGATCAGGTTCTGTGAGATAATGCACCAGATCTGAAATATCTACTATACGCTCAACAACTGGAGCTCCAGATATACAGGTGCAATTGCGGTACACATGAAGGTGCAAAGAACCACGAGATTGCCTGAAAACTGGGATATATTCAAAACATGGTACTAGATAAAAATACGAGTTACATCACCTATAAGAAAAGTGCCTGGTAACCTACAACTATTGATTTCAGAGATAAGCATATGTACAATGATGAGTATATGGATGATATTGTGTCTAGACAGATTGACGTCTGGGCGGTGTACTGTCACGAGTCGGATGATCAAAAATTTAAAGTCCGTCTGTATACTTCGCTGGATGGCTCCTATTTCCTTCATTTGTGTTCTTAATCATGTCGTTCGATGCTCAAGCTTATCATGATCATGCTGCTTCTCAATCTAATTTCATGGCCTCTAATACATTGTGCAAGCAAATCTCTTGGCAGCATTCTGCTAATGGTCTGATTATCGTGGACCGCGATGAGCAAACCCCTTTCATCGGAGTGGTGACCGGAAGAGTATCATCTTTCAATCTCAAGTGTGGCACCAGTGGCAATTATCTCAAGAAAGGCGCCCTTGAGAAAGCCAAATACCAGCTCCATCTTGTCCGTCCGACTGACAAGATCTTGGCTCATGACTTTGACACTGTCATCCGTAATCTTGAGACTATGCAGAAGGCAGCAGGGACAACAGGCGATCACAGAAATATGGTGATTCGTGACGTGACAGGCGAAATGCTCCGTGTGGTGGCGAACGTATTTGAGCCTAGGGTGAGTGATTGTACTGCATTGAAAATAATGCTGATGTATTTGTGTAGAATGTTCGAATTCCCGATTCTCCTCATGGCCGGCGTGTTCCTAATGCTCCGTTGATGGATGAAGTCACTGACAAATGGCCCATCGCACCTGATCATGAGGATGATTTCATTCGCATCAAGTATACTCATGAGGCCGTTCCTCTTCCAGTGTTCCAAGACGGCAAAGCCATTCAGCCATTGGAGATCAACCGCGCGTTAGAAGGAGCTTTGGTGGAGATTTATTTGTCGATTCATCACTGGCATTTTTCAGGATACGACAGCTTCCAAGCAAAAATGGAGAAAGTGATCATCCTTCATCCTACTGCCAGTATCCCAGGTAAACATCATTTGCCCGAACCTAAGGAGGGCGAAGGTACAGAAGAAGAGCCGCCGCATAAGAGAACTGAGAAAGCGGGTGAGGCAAGTGGTTCAAATGTCTGATATGATGATGTTCTGTTTCTGTATTTGTATTGTGTCATCGAGACGGAGCTCTGAGCTTCGCTGTATCGGTTTCGGTATATCTGTATCAGTTTATGTATCGTTGTGTATCTATTGTGTATCCATATTTACGAAGATCTATCATTTTCGATTATTGCACTGCATGATGTTCACGTCAGGTGACTGACAGATTATGTGCCATCCAACATGACCTTGCTTCGCAAGGTAATGTCCGAAGAAGAATATAGATTGCTTGTGATGATGTTATCAATGATGCCGATACTAACCGGGGGGAGAATACGACTGTTACTCGCTCAGTTACACCCAAGACTTCCTAGGCATTGAGGGTACATAGTTCATTTTCTGCTCGCCCCCGTACACACTAATATGTACCTTGGTTTGATTACACTGTCTAGAATACAGTACGTTATCTGGGATTGAGGTCTGATTACATTGTCTAGTACGTATACCAGTCGGATCAAGAAACGAATTATTAAGGTCCGATTGTTCATGAGGGAAAATAACATGATTGATCCAGACGCAAAGCCGCATCACAAAAGTCGGAACACCGTCCAAGCCATTTTACCCTAACCAACGACCCTGTTCTCAAGGAGAGAAGTCATTACACTCATGTACTCAATGCCGCAGGTGAAAAATCCCTCGAGTAGATGCGATACTGCATATTCCTTTCACTCGCAGGTAACGTGTACATGTCGCTGATTTTAATCTCTCATAGCCAGAGGACAGTCATTCCTTTCTATGAAATACCAATTTAGCTTTCATCTTGCTCAAAAAATGAACGTGGCTCACACGTCACTTTGCCCAGAGGTAATCACGCATACAATCAAGAATTGTCCCGGGGTATTAAATTAACGTGTCAAGAAATGACTTACATAGGTACTACATACATACGTTATTTAACGCCAGTAAAGCTATCAACATGGCTTGACGCCCCAGCCCAAAAGGGCAAATGTGACGGGCAAACCTTCAGCAGCCAAGATTGCCATTCCAGCATAGACCACTACCTTGGTCAATACTGAAGAAGGATAGGAATCGGTCTCAGACTTCGACATCTATCAAAGAGACAGACGATGCACTCACCGTCAGCATCGTAGTGCTTGACTTCCTTGCGTTGATATGACCCGTTGCTGTTCTCGAGCTCGGATCCGCTGTAATTTTCTCCGTTGGCTGACGGTGAATCGTTATTCGACTTTGCACCTCTTCGCTTGACCTCACTTGTTCTCCCTAACGCAGACCTCTCCCTGATTGCGCTGACCTCTAGGACACCAGGAAGGTCGATGAAACTCGGAATCGGGCGCAAACTACTTTCAACTGGCATGTGTTGGTAATCTGTCGCAGGGGTGTAGAAGCGTCGGTGTGGCAGGTCGAATGAGGATGCAAGAAGGCGGAAAAGAGGAGGAAGAACGATGTGCAGGAGCGATTTGGCCAAAATTCGCCATACAAAAATGACAAGGATGCCTGTAGAGACATGTGAGCAAGAATGAAAACAAGATGGAAAGTAACAGAGACGGACCGATAGTGACTTTGGCACAAGCTAGAGTCCACCACGAAACAGTATCCTCCAAAGTCCACGCGGCCCCTTGAGGTCCGGGCATCACGGAACTCAAGAAGCGCTCGTCAACACCAGAGTACACGCTGTGCCACCGGGATAGTGCAATGCCAAGGAGGACAGAGACAAACGCGATGGCATCCTCGAAGCAAGGACAGTCATCGACGGGATGTGGGTGGTAATGTACAAGGAGTAGACAGATGGGGATCATTGTCAGCGGAACTGAAAAGAAATAAGTAGGAATACCAGCAAGGATGGAAGATATCACCTATCCAGTGAGCAGTTGCCAACCAATTCCCAAACGCCTCTTTCATAATCACATAGCCCCCCCAGATTATCACTCCAAGAAAGACACCAACCGCACAGTCAATGAAGGAATGCATGCCTGTGTATAAACGGCCGAAGACCACGGTCACGGCATATATCACGAGGATGACACATGACGTATAGTAGATCGATGACGAGATTGTGGCTGATTCAATGTAGGCGCGTCTAACATAGCCAAATATAAAAAGTGCCATGGAAACGCTATTCGTAGAATGTGTTGAGGGAAAACCGTATTCGAGGTGGTGCGTCCCAATCGCTGGGATAAGGCTGTTGATAAACTTTGCAATGAAGGAATGTCGTTCACTTACTCAGTCGCGTTACAGGAGGGACTAATGGACGAGGTGAACAAATAAGGTCCTTCAAAAACGAAGCAACGTAGACTCCGGAAGCCAAAACGATGACTAGGCTGTTTGCGATTTGAGTTGCAATAATTGGCGGACAAGTGGATCGTACCCTCGTCCGAGCTCCTCGTAGCCAAAGAAAAATGTCAAGGGTAGGCCAATCATGAAGAAAGTATGGGTGCCAAGAGTTGAACTATAGAGGAAATACAAGTCCAACCATGGGTGTCGTATGCATTCCTACAGAAAGTTATGAGATACATGGACTATGTTGAGATATAAATGACACGAGCCTGCATTCGGGCCAATATTTGACTTTCTCGTTTCACCGAACTGAGAATTCGGGCTCGTATAGTTGCTCTCCACCATGGAAGTTCGGTTTCGTATAGATCCTCGGCATGCTGTGTATCGGCGCGTCCTTGCTTGTCTAGCTGCGAATGTTCTAGTTTGTCATGATGAATGGTGAGAATAGGTATCTTATTGTGCATGTGTTCGTCGTGAAAAGTGACAGAGGATAGCGCGTGTGTGTTGGACGCCTGAGTCGCCATGGGCCAGTACTTCTGGCTATCGTGCAAGCGGGTTGAAAGTGGAGCAACCGCAAAGGCTAATAACCTTCTCGTGAGAACATTAAAAATCTGCTTTGACAGGTTCTGTAAGAAACGACATTTTCTCTACTGTGGGAATTATTATGTCAGCTTTGGATCACTGGTAGAGGTTAGCTCAAAATTTTGTTCTAAATTTGTCTTGTCAGTAGATAGTACCTGGTACTGCATCGACGTCTCTTCTTCCGCTGGTTTTGAAATTTGAAACGTCCAAGCCATGTATATCCGGGTAATTCGAATCGTGCCTCATAATCCATATATTTAGGGCGAAGCTTTGCGATCGCCGTCCCTCCTTCGTCTCCACGATGTCCAATAATCATCTACAAGAGAAGAACTCAACCACCGATCCTGAGAAGGATTCCGCGTATAGAGATGGTCTCTCTGCGATCATCCCCGGAGACAAGCACGGATGGCTCTCCCACCCGTTAGCAAAGTCTCTTCTCAGCTGGGGCGTAGAGGAACGAGGTAAGTTTCCTTCACAACCAAATACTCATCTAATCTTCGTTCATAGGCACTATTCCAGTTCCTGAAGAGGAGCGGATGGACACTCAATACTATAAAATTTTCTTCCTTTGGTTTTCAATGAACTTCAACATCCTCTCGTGAGTTTTCAGAGTATTTCGATCGTCAGCTCATTTTTACAGATAAACTAGCTTCTCTGCCGGAACAATTGGTCCAATCGCTTTTGGACTTGGACTTCGCGATTCTTGTCTCGTTATCTTATTCTTTAATATCCTGGCGTGCGCATTACCTGCATATTTGTTCGTATACTTTCCCAAACATAGCTAGAGTCATTACTTGACTTCTCTTCCACAGAAATACTTGGGGCCCTCGAATTGGCATGCGTCAGATGATTCAATCTAGATATAGTTTTGGGTATGTGTGCTTGCTTCTTATATTTGTTACTGTCTGACTTTCTTTCAAGCTACTTTGGCGTCATTATACCCGCTATCCTCAATTTGATCGGCATGTGCGGCTTCAATATCCTCAATGGTATTCTCGGTGGACAGGCACTAGCTAGCGTGTCTGGTAATATGAGCTGGGAGTGCGTATGGCGTCCCACAAAATCGGTTATCTTACCTAACCCCTATCAGTGTCGGCATTGTCATTATCTTCGTCATCGCGCTCCTCGTGCGTCCTCTTACGTGACTTCTGAAATTCTTTGTCTTCACAATGTTCACAACTTCAGATCTCCTTCATGGGCTACAGAGTACTTAACTGGTAAGCGGCAACCTCTGTTCATCAAAGTTATAGTTTTATGGTTTCCAGGTACGAACGTGTTTCATGGTTCCCAGGTTCTTATCGCATTCTTGGTTGTACTCGGCGTGGGTGGCAAGAACTTGTACAACGCTCAACCAGCGGAACCCGCATCCGCTGCTACCATTCTCAACTTCGGATCTGTTATCGCTGGTTTCGTTATCACCTACTCGCCATTGGCATCCGATTTCACGATGTACTACTCGCCCACCGTTCCTCGGTAGGTTTCATCTCATCTCCTGTGGCGTTACACTTAGACATGTTTTTCCAGGTCCAGGATCTTTTGGTATGCATATGCAGGGTACATCGTACCTATCGTACGTCAGCTTCTTCATCTGGTACACATCCTAAGCGTTTTCTCATATATCCACAGGTCCTTCTCCAGTGCCTTGGAGCCGCAGCAGTCCTTGCTGCACCGAACGTTCCTAGCTGGAACGAGGGTTACGGAACGGAAGGCAACGTCGGCGGCCTTTTAGAAGCGATGCTCAGCCCGGTCGGTAACTTTGGGAAGTTCCTCACCGTTCTTCTCAGCCTGAGCGTCACCAGCAACATCGCTGGCACGCTTTATTCTATTTGTTTCAATTTCCAAGTGATGATCCCGGCCATGTCAAGAGTCCCAAGATATGTTTTCTCGATCGTCGGCACGGTAATGTGCGTCTTCCTATTTGTACTTCCTGCCACCAGCTAATTTCAAAAAATTCCCCTGGACGCTGACAGCGCATTGCCTCTATCGATCGTGGGGGCCCACAGATTTTATGCGGCGCTGACCGATTTCCTTTCGCTAATCGGTTACTGGGCAAGTGCGTACGGCGCCATCCTCCTTGTCGAACACCACTACTTCCGCAAAGGTGACTTCAGCACCTACAACCACGCTATATGGAATATTCCGGGGCATCTGCCCTGGGGAGC